GTGTTAATCAAGTGCTTTCTAAAATTAAAGACAGACATTAAGACTTTGAGTAAACTTAGACAACAAAACAGGACAATTAACATAAAGCCACCCCTAGGAGTCCCAAGCAACTTTCTTTTTTTCTTTTCTTTAATTTATAAAACATATTTTTTCATTTATTTTGAATACCAACCAGTTTACCCTCCTGCCTCTGTTCCCATCCCCTCCCCTTTCCCATCTTCCTGCCTCCCCATACACTCCTGTTTCATCTCCATTCAGAAAGGGCAGGCCATCCATGGGCTTGAGGAAAGCTAGGCACATCAAAGTGAGGCAGGATCAAGCTCCTCCACTTACATTGAGTCAGGGCCATGTAATCCAGCAAGGTGAACAGGTTACCAAAAGCCAGCTACGAACCAGGGAGAGGTCTTTGTTCTCAGTGTTAAAAGCCTTACTATGCGACCAATATCCATGATTGTTTCATGCACATGCAGAGGGCCTAGGTCAGTCCTATTCAGGCTCTCTGACTTTTAGTCTACATTCCATGAGCTCATGTCAGCTGTCACTATAGGTTCCCTCATCATGACCCAGGCAGCTATCACTATGATAACAACTAGAAGTAAAAGAACCTACTAGGTCTTGAGGTACATTGATTACCAGTTATCTGAGAAACAGCCATACTGATTTCTAAAGTGAAGGGGGTGCCTAAACTAACCTTCCATTCAGATTTATGACTACCTTAATTGTCATCATAGAACCTTCATCGAGCAACTGATGAAAGTAGATGCAGAGATCCACAACTAAACACTGGGCCTAGCATCCATAGTTCAGTCAAAGAGAGGGAGGAGTGATACTATGAGCAAAGTGGTCAGTATTGTGATCGGAATACCCACAGAATCAGCTGACCCAAGATAGTGGGTGATCACTGACTCCTGACTGTCCAGCTGAGGAACCTGCTTAGGACTGAACTAGACCCTCTGATTGTGGATGATAGTAGTATGGTTTGGGTAGTTTGTGGGCCACTAGCAGTGAGACAAGGATTTATTCTTAGTGCATAAACTGGCTTTTTGGAGCCCATTCCCTATGGAGGAATAGCTTGCTCAGCCAAGATACAAAGGAAAGGGCCTTGGTCCTGCCTCAATGCGATGTGACAGACTCAGTTGACTCCCATGGGAGGTCTTACTGTCTCTGAGGAGTGGGTAAGGGTGGAGTGAGGGGAAAAAGAGTGAGAGGAGGGTAGAGAGGGCAAATTGGGGTTAGTATGTAATATTTAAAAAAATGGATTACTTAATAAAAATTAAATTTAAAAAATCAACACGCCAGAAAAGAGAAAATAGTAGAAGAAAGCCTTAGTTTCTTTTTTACTTTTTTTTTTTTTACTTTATTTTTTCTGATTGCATTTTTCCACTGCTTAGCAGGGAGAAGATATGTTGAGTTAAAATGTGATGGGTTATTTACCCATGGGTATATTTCCAACAGAAGTATTTATGATTAAAAAATGTGTACAAAAAAAGCAACTAAAGCATAGTAACCTAGATGTTTGCAGGAATTTTAGAGCATTTCCACTTTTAAAATGGAAAAAAATTATTAGATTTTATATAGCATGATGATAAAATGATATTAACAAGGATGAAGGATTGTGGAGAGAGAATCTGTTTCTTTTTGTCCATTATCCACCTCCTTTAATGTGAAAAGCACTTTTTTAAGTCAAAATGCAAATTTATACTAAATCATTAGTTGCTTTTTATTCTCTCTGCAAACACTTTCCTATGATTTGTAGAATCTGACAGTAAACAGTTTACCTCATTAGCATTGTCTAGGAAATAATCACACAGGTGTGTGTAATTTAGTTCTATAGTCAATAAGATAGTCATATGTCTATGATAATCCTTCTTCTGAATTTAAGTGAAGTTGAATTATTTTTACTTTACCTGAAATAGCTCTGTGATTCAAGTGCAATCGCTGTAACCATGCTACATAAACTTCAACAGAGGCTTAATTTATTCTAAGATTTCACAAAACAATGACTAATTTTTCCAAAGATACACATAGACATATTCACATCTGAAATTTCTGTGAACTCTTTAAGAAATATCATGATAGTCTTTATTTCTACCATGAACAAAAATATCTCCCTATTTTTCTCATTTCAAATATAGAAATAATGGTGCATTTACTTATATTGCTCTCAAGCCGTGTACCTTACAATGTCAACATTAGACAGAGTAGAAAAAATACTATTGATTTCAAGTTAGAGAAGTTCGAGGCAACAATATTAGTGATGCAAAGTAAACAGTTGTGGAACTTGGAACAAAGCAGTAACATGTGCTCTCTCAATTTCTACATCTAACAATAAAATAAATCATGTTGATTCAGCAATATTATCTGTGAGGAAAAAGTGTGCCTTTTTTGGAATTTGGGGAATTTTTTGTTGCTATCATTTTTTTTTTTCATTTTTATGAAAGCTAATATCATTTAGTAAGAGAAAAAACTCAACTGAGAAAAGTTCTCAGTAAGAATGGCATGTAGGTATGGCTGTGATGGTACATTTTAAATTAATGATTGATGTGAGAGGGCCTAACATTACTGTGGAGATTACGATCCCTAAGCAGGCAGTCTTGGGATATATAAAACATTGGAGTAGACATGGCCAGCACGCCAATAAACAGTGTTTCTCTGTGGTTTTTGCTTCCGTTCCTACTTTCAAATTCCTGCTTTGACCTGTTGTTCTGACTCTCCTCGGTGATAGAGTGTTGACTGAGTGTAGTAAGATTAAAAAAAGCCTATCCTTCCTAAGTTAATGTTGATAGCAGCGTTAAATCATAGGAAGGACAGAAGTCTAAGTTAGGAAGCAATAAACTATTGATTCTAAAACCTGGATATTCAAATTGTAAATGTCACCTTTTCAGCCTATCATAAACAAACAATTGCATTCATCTTGGAATAGTGGTAATTACCTATAACAGAGATGAGAGAGAGAGAGAGAGAGAGAGAGAGAGAGAGAGAGAGAGAGAGAGAGAGAGAGGATGTCATTAGACTGACAAATGAAAAATGGATTTGTGTTCCATTTAATCATGAGAATTAGACATAGCAGCAAATTCATTCAATAACCTGGTTTTCATGTTTTCTTGATTTAACTGGATAATTTCACAGGTAATGAAACTGATATTGTCATCATATTAAGTGCAAAAGTCTATTTCTATACTAACCATAAAAATGATTGACATTTTTTTAAATGAGCAGAAAAAGATGAAGCTGGTCTTTTTTTTTTTTTTTTTTGTCTTAAGAAAGCTTGATATCATGGCAGTTAAGGTAATACAAACACAAAATAAGAACAACCTTTACTCATTGATGTTCATTTTAATAAGTCTGTACATAAATGCTCCTCATATCACCAAAGAATTATACCTCCATGGTAGCTAAGCAAAAAGTTCACAGTTATTCTGGTGCAAGGGATGAATTGTGTACAAAATTATTTTGAATGCAGATTTCCTGCTGTGATAAAAGCTATTTGAACTGAATGATTATCATCATTCCCAGTCCATTGGGAACAGGTTTCATTCATTTAAGAAGTGATATGTGTATTAAGGTTGCTCTAGCCATTAAGTCATTTGCCATCTGTTTCACTGAAGAGGGGTTCTGAAAGAAAGGTAATACATAGACTCTGGATAATATGAAACCCTGGCTGCCATGATTTGGAAAAAAACATTTATCTCAGGAAAAGAGTAACATATAAAGGCATCCTCTGCAACATGGATGCAATTATTATAAATATCAGCTCAAACATTAAGTCTCACTCTTCCTTGCTCTTTTACAAGCTACATCCCTCAATTCATTATCTATATTTTTTTCTAGAAAAACAAATATATCAACATTTCTGAAAACCACATTAAAATATAAAATCATTTGGTGCACAAATGGATGAAATGGATATGGTGGTACATGCCTTTAATCCTACCAAGATGAGGCTATGACAGGAGCATCATAAATTCAAGATCATCGTGTGCTATATAATGTAACACTGTCACAAACATAAAGGCAAATGTGTATATGGGATGTACAACATTAGACATATTTTTCCAGTTACAAATTAAAGAGATCATTGGATGACAGCAAACAAATTTCTAAATTCCTCATATTTTTAAATATTAGTCACTTAGGATTTGTTGTTGCCAATAACTTTCTCTGAATGTTCTGCTTTATATTCCAATAATATCAGACAAGTCAACAGAAAATGAAAAGAAAAAAACAGAAAACAATTCAAAAGTATTGCTGAATAAATATGTGCTCTTCAACAACATAATATTAACAATTCTGTATTGGGTGCTGAAAATTAAGCAAAGGGAAGTTGATATAATACAGTATTCAAAAATATTAAAAGCATTTTACATGGGGAAATTTATATTAACAAAGTGAAAACTATCAACTGTCTGAAAAACCTTTCAGTGTACATGGTGTGATCTGGAGAAAAAAAAAATACTTGCAGTCATTACCTCTATTTTCTTTAAATTGTGACATGTCTTCTCCAGTTCAGTCAAAACTCTGAAAATGTCAGTGAAGACCTTTTTTTTTTTTTTTTCATCAAGCTGACTTAATAAACAGTTTTCTTGTGGCAGGATAACTGTTTATAAATTTTATAATTAAAATCCAATAAACATAACTGACCTTTAAAAACTTATAATACAAATTTTGCTATTTAGATTTATTAAACTATATGGAATCAAACATGAATAAAAAGCTATTACAGAAATGTAACAGCTTACAGAACAATGGGGCTATGTTTTACTCACCAGTTAAAAGGCAGAAAGAATTTTAACAGCCTTTCTGACATTTAGATATAGAAAGTAATCATTGAGATAGAATGATATTATTATAAAGTCAGTCAGTATTCCCAACAGAGAGAGTGAATCTTGTAGTATATATAACTTGCCTTGTAAAAATCACTGGACAACAAACTACAAAACATTTATTCAATGTTTTCAGTCTAATGTAAAGCTTAAAGGGCCAGTTCCCTGGATACACAAATGTCTTCTGCCAACAAGCCATTAAAACACTTAGATACTGCAAGTGATATTGTGAGCGCTGTGATTTTGACCATGAATGCCGTGCACCCGCGCCCTTGTGTCTGCGCTCTGTGTGTTGGCACCCAGTTCGCCAGCTTCGGGCAAGGTGCTGGAGGTTAAAATACAAAGACACACACAGACAGAGAGACAGTGACACGGGTCATCCTTGAATTCCCCAAGAAGGCCCACTTTACTGTGTTCAGGGGCAGATTATATAAAAATAGCCACACCCCAGCCAAACCCACCAGAAATCACTCTCCTGCCATCAGGAACTCCTGAAGGTCTCATGCTCAGAGCAGCTGTAGGCACCCAGATCAGGGGAAAACAAGTTGTTTACAAGAAATTCAGGATCTGGGGTCTCACTGCTCCCAGCATTGAAGACTCTGAAGATTCAGGAGGTATAAAGATAAAGACGACTCAGTTCTGACTTTTCATAAGATATTCACTATTCCTGTTTCTTGAGACTAAGCCGGGCCTCATTTTAAATGGTCTGCATCTTTATCAAGGTTATTGTTGCTCCTCTTCCACAGCCAGACTAGAAGCTGAAGCCATATGGTCAATGACTCAGTAGGAGCGCAAGGAAAGGAAAGCAGACACTGCATACAAGACTACCATTGACCAAGACAGACAAAAGCACAGCTGTGCAAAACTCCCAAAAGCAAACAATCCCCCACCTTATTTCTAGTTCAGTTCAACTAATAGACACTCTCACATCATCCTAGACACTGTGTTTATTTTCCTGATGATTTCCCTGTAATCTGTTTCAGATTATCTTTGCTTACAGAAATATCCTTCTCCCTCAAGATTAGAGACCACCAAGGAACTGCATATGCAAACACAAAATTACCATTCCTGTACCCAGAATTTAGAATACTCTTTAATCTATTGCTGTTTCAACATAAGAACAATCACACACACACAATATTCACCCAACCACAAAATATCACCAAAGTAACAATAAAATCGATTTCACTAAATTACAAGGCTAATGGTGAAGTTTTGAGACATGTCCACACTTTGAAAAGTTTTGTAACCATTATTACATTTCTATAAAACTCAAGATTCCAGGTTTCTGACATATTGAGGTAGAATAGACTTTGCCTCAAGTTCAGAAAGACAGAGAAGCTGATTAAGTTTCATAGATAATGGAACTAATAATTGGTTGCTCATGACTGGAGTAAATGTTATGCTGGATAGTGCTCACAAAACCTTTCTAGTGTTAGTTCTAATTATTTGGGGCTAAATGTAAAAACAAAAGCACCCCTTGATTACTGAGTTTCATCAAGAAATGTGATAATTAACTCACACAGTTTTTATGAACCAGCATAATTATGTGGTGAGTTGATGATAGATAGATAGATAGATAGATAGATAGATAGATAGATAGATAGATAGATGATAGATAATAGAAATAGATAGAGTGATGGTACATACATATATACATAACATATATACATAAATGTGCATAAATAGGTAAGAGGAGACTAGTTATTAGAATTATTTTAGGCAATAATAAGGTCAAGATAACAAAATATGTGATAGTGTTTCTTTTGTAAAATAGAAAAGAAAAACTAAACATGACAAAATTAAAGACAATAAAATAAAACAAAAGTTATCACTTGTAAGTTGGACACACACCCAACAGAAGAAAAAGAGTCCCAATTGCAGGCATAAGAATCAGAAATCCCTTCATTTTCATGGTCAGAAGCCTCATTAAACACTAAGGTAATAGCTGTAATATATACACAGAGGACATGCTGCAGACCTATGTAGGCATTGTGATTGCTTCTTAATATCTGTGAGCTTATTATCTGTAAGCTTATCTTGCTTAGTTGGTTTGGAGGGACTTGTTCTCTTGGTGACCTCTATCATTGTGGCTTTTACAATCTTGCTGCCCCCATTTTTTGAGGAATTCCCTGTGATCTAACTGGAGGGAGGGATTTGACAGAAACATTCAATCTAGACTCTCTCTCTAAATAATGTCTGACTGCAAGTTTCTGCACCTGTTTACATCTGTTGTTGGAGGAAGCATTTCTGATGGATGACTCGATAAGTCACATTAATATGTGAGTGCACAAGAACATCATTAACTGTCATTTTCTTTTTTTTTTTTTAAACTGTGATTTTATAATAAGTCTCTAGTCTCTGGTTCTTAGTTGCACAGACAGTATCAGAGATGGGATCTTTTTCATGCAGTTGTTCATAACTCAAATCTAAAAACATCTGGCTATGCCCAAAAGTTCTGTCCCCTAGTTGCGCTAGCATATTTTGCAAGGATAACAGATTGTAAGTTAAAGGATTTGTGGCTGAGTTGGTGTTCACCTTTCTCTACAGGAGTCTTCAGAGTTTTTTCCTACACAAAAGAGAATGGAACCTAGGGGATTCTCCGTATAGATAGCAGTTCAACTTCCCCAGGTTCAACGAATTATGTAGGTATTGTCTTCTGCATAACACTGTGATTACCCAGCAGTGTTCCTGCAATTTGTAATATGAAGCAACTTTCCAAAAAAATCACCAAAGTATCACAGCCATCACTGTGTAGTAGAGTGTGAGATATATTTTATAATAGAGTTCACCTGTAAATACTTTATTTTCTTAGAATTATTATTGATTTCATACAATTTATTGAAAATCATGAGAAATTATGAAAGTTTTAAGAATTCTGTAGTTATTTCTCAGGAGAAACTTAAAATCTTTGGACCACTGACTGATGGTATTTTCTTCGAATCAGTTGTTGTGATTCTGTTCCCAAAACATTCTCTATACATGACTGTTTGAATATATGTGTGCATACATTATATGCTAAACTATGCATGGTTACACAAAACTATGGTCTTACTAAGTGGCATTGTCCCATAACGTTTTAGTAAATAAGATAGGAAAACTGCAACTGTTTCTCACCATCCTATTCACAAACAATTCAATATTCCAAGCCCACGTTATTCCACCCTCAAGTAAATAGCACTGTCGGCCAGCTTAATTTTCCTCCAACAGATGAAGAGATGACCGTACCATGACTGAAGTTACTGCAACACATCTGCGTGGCCACAGAAATCCAGTACGTCTAAAATTACATGCATTTGTCTTATTTTATATGTAATGTTTTACTCTCATAAATTATAATGGCATCTGACATAAAAGTTTATCAAATTCAATTATTAGAGTAGGTGTTGTTGGGGGCAACACCTTGGGAAAACTCAAGTTTAGAGATCTTTGCCTTTATTAAAAAGTCCATCTGATCAAAAAATTCTAACAGAAGAGTCAAAGTTAAAGAAACTTTAAGAAGGGCAATGTGCAGCCCAGGATCTCTCTGAAGCTGTATGTTTCTTTTGCTCACTTTTTTCAGACCAGGTCAAGTTGACCTGGTTAGAAAAAAAAAAAAGAAAAAAAAAATGAGTCTCAGCACTGAGTACTACAATTCCATAGTGTTCTTCAAAACAGATTTATGATGGAGCAGACATTTTCAGACTTGGAAAATTTGGAAACAATTTACTGAATTGGTAGTCTCAAATATATCGCCCAATCAAAGTAGTGTTACTGATGCTCTCCTTCAACTTGTGCTTTTTCTGAGTTTTATGCTACTCCTTAGGGAATTGTTTTTTTTTAATGGTATTTACAATGTACATTTTTTTTTCTCCTAAAAGATAGCCAAAGGACAATGCCCAGAGAAGCATTTTTTCTCAACAATGAAATCTTCAAGAAGTACCAGCTGAGAAAGTGTTGTCTAGCCACAGCCCAACATTGTCAAAGAAGATTTTACAACATGTGACTCATTTTCTTTATAATTGGGGTGATCATATTATTCAGGCAGTTTTCCATAATTACACTCCAAAAGAACTAATTTTGTGTGTATAGAAGAGTAATGCACATGCAGTTCTATACAATGCGATATATTGCTACAATGTCATGCAGCTGGATGAAGTAGGCTTCTGCTTGAAAAGAATTCCTGTCATTATGACATCACAGAAGCAAGAAATTGGATCGCCACAGTCCCAAACATGCAAATTTGATTCTCCCCGAACTATAAACATGCATCTTGGATGCACTGTCTTTCCAAATTCTAATATTAAAAACAACAGAATATAAAGGTGATTTAGAACAAATATTATAGCTTGTGTCCTGAAAATACCCAAAAAGATATTTTCTAAAGATTTAACAACACTTACCATTCTGCCAGTACATTGTGAAATGAAGCACAAGTGCCTTCCCTTCACAACTCTGTTATGTGCTTCAGTGGTAAGAGAAGGAGGGCAAAGCAGAATTTAAGCTTCCACTTTAATCTGTTTACACTGTGTGGACGATAATAAATATGTGATGAGAAGTCAGACAGGAAAAGAGTCCTGCTGAACAGATCCCAACAAGATGACTCCACTGCTCACAGGTTCTAATGCCAAACCTGATGACATTGTTTGCTCTCCCAAATGCACATGGTGGAAAAAGAGAACTCACTCCTACAGGTTGTCCAGTGACCTCTACACAACGCTCCTTCCACAATAAAAAATGAATGAATGAGTAAATAAAGTGAAGTGTTAAAAATGAAGATCTAGATGTGGTGCCTTAGCCTGGTAAATTCAGAGTTCATTGTTCAGGATGCATGAGAGGTTTCACGAGAGAATTACTGTAAGCGGGCAATCTTCCTGAGCTTCAAAGAACTCCCTTTTTATAACCTTCTAGATGCAGATAGAAACCATTGAATTTACTTCAATCATACATATAAGAGCAATGCATGAGGAAATGCCCACTATCTAGCAGTAGAATGGAAGTGAATTAGGACAACCGTTTTGCTTCAAAGTTGACTGTAACTAGTCCTATGATCTACTGATGGTATCAACACTCTGAATCCAACAACTCTAGGCAGCATGTTCTGGCATGATGATATTGTAAAGTGTGGTGATTATAAAAAATAATACTGTACTATTTAAGAAGGTTAGAATAAGGTATCTGAATGCTTCACCATAACATAACAATCAATGCTTGAGAAAGACAATGTTTAACTAATTTAAACATTCTTTAAATGTCCTTTGAAATCTGGCATGGCATGACACTAATTTTACATATTTATTTGATTCTCTTCCTCTACTTAAAATAAAGCTAATTTAAATTTAA